CCCGGCGGAGGCAGTTGTACGAGAACATGGCAAGTGCAGGGGCTGCGAAGCTTTTGTCGGGCAATTTCGGAAATGTCTGTCGCCAGCTCGCTGTGAGTGATTTAATACTATGTTATGTTGCATTTAGTGATTTATTTGTGCAATATACAATAACATTATTGCGTGTGTGGGGAAGGAATTTGACAGTTTCTCCCCACGGTTTCAATCAGCTGATCCATTCGGCGCAATTTACACGGTGATGCAACACCCTTTTATTTCCCCGTATTTCATCTCGTACTCCTTTGGTGGGAACATTTTAACTCATGTTGACATTAGCCCTTTGTCTTGAGAATTACTAGGAAACTCTCTGCATATTTTTTTTGATAAACCAATAAAACTAGGGCATGTGCTCTTTCACTTATGTGTTATCAGAAAGTAATTAACATTTCTGTTTCTTGTGCCAAAAAGTGGCTAGGTTTTCGAAATCAGTCATTATGGCTAATATATATTCTATGACTGAGTGCTAATGATAACTTTCATGTACTATATTAATCAATGATGATATATTAAAATATTGGAAATTACAGCAGTATGCAGTATATTATGCAATGAGGATCCTAAAAAAAAATTAAAATTAGAGCAGCTTGCAAACCCCAAAATCCAAACCAAACCTTAGGAATCTTACAAAGTTGTTCTGCCCATGGAATTGCAACAATTTTTGTATTGATGAATTCCTCACACAGGTCAATACTAGGGCTGCCAGATTTATTACACACAATTGAACGTGTACACCTGGTATTATATCTCACATATAAAAACAGATTAATATGGACCTGCTTGAGACATGAAGACAACCACCCAGACTTATGATCACGTACAAGATCACGCACAGCCTTATAAACATTAACAAACACAAATACTTGCAAGAAGCACACACATGCAATACAAGGAACTCACTCCTCAGTAAGTTCTTTACATACCACACCAACACTGACTCTTACAAGCACTCCTTCTTCTCACATACCATACGGGACTGGAACAGGCTTCCCCAACATATCATTGAAACAAAAACACGCAATACTTTCACTAAGAAATTAAACGAACACTTAACACTGCAAGCACCTCTCACACACCAACCCTACCGCTTAAACCTTTTAGCCCTCCCTCATCCCCAGCAACCAACCACAAATGTGTGCTGTGCACTTATTTAGCGCCCTACATATTATTGTTGAATTGAGACTGTACTATCCAAATAATATTAGTACATAATCCCTTCAAACATACACATTCTTGGCCCCATTAGTAGGGGGGAGCATGAAAGGTATCAGAAATTGCAGCTTAAAATATAGATGATATACATCAGCACAGAATCAGTTACCCATTTGTCTGCAACTTACTTGGGAGTTGCAGGAAAGCAAAGAATCCTCCATGTACTAATGGCAGGAGAGAGCATTAGACTTGCCATTAACTGCTCCCACATGTTAGTTGTACCTTCTCTCCTAATGTGAATATATTGCAGATTCTTTTTGTTCCAATGCAGGGGTTGGAGATGGCAGCCCTCCATGGGGTTTTGCAACGTGCATAGCCCCCTTCATTAGACAATAGTGACTGATTCTGTGTATATTATTTATATATTTCCCCACAATTCCCCTGGTACTCATCATGCCCTCCCCTGCTATCGGAGCCAAGATTGTCACTAATAGAGGTTTCTGCTAAATAATTAAGATGTATATGAATACTACAGTGACAAGAATCCATGGAAATCAAAATCTTCATGATCAATTAGGTGGAACTATTCTGAAAAATTACCCTATCTTTCCTTGTTTTCTATCTACTTCCTAGACAAGGGAGCAAGCCCCTCCTGTATCCTCCTCTTTATTAGCACTTTGTACGAACTTGGATATAAAGGCGACAGAAACCCATCCACCATGGAATTATCTTTTTGCTAGTAGCCAAACAGAGGGGATTGTTGGCTCTGATCAGTCCATCCCCCTTTTGCGCCTGGCTCATTTGGTAATTGCAGACAATATTGAGTACCTAAAAGTTATTCTTGTATTTATTTTTTATTTTTTTTATTTAAAAAGTGGAGGTTAAACCTCACTTTGTGTGCCATAAAGTTTCTTACAATTGTTGCCGCTAATAGAGGAGATAAACATTCTCCGACCGATATTCAATATTTGCAAGATTCTGTGTATCACTGGCAACTTGTAGAAGACTTGGTGATTTTCAAAACAACTGCTTGTAATTACATAAGTTGTAGCTTTATACATTTGAAGCTTGTTGTCTGTAAAGGAAGGCCTATAATCTGAAATATAACCTCATCTAGGTCGTATGTAGTGATTATTGATATGTAGTTAGTATATTATTTTTATTTTTTTTTTGTAACTCAAACATTTACGGTTTCCTCCCCTAGGTGCGCTCCCAGAGCACAGCAGCTGCAACAGCTGCCCAACCTGTACCAGAAAAGAGGTTGAAGAAGTTTTCCATTTATCGCTGGGATCCGAGAAGCAAGGAGACAAGCCTCACATGCAGACCTATGAGGTTGATCTCAACACGTAAGTTATTACACTGAAGTTTTGTGTTTGTTTGAATTATCTTTACTTATTACAGTATTGATATTTATGATGTACTCTCTTCTTACTGATATATAATTTGAAAATTATTTTTTTAGAGCTAGATGACTTGCTTGATTTTTGTAAGTGCTGCAATCTAGTGATTTGATTGTGAAAAATAAATTACTGCTTCCAGCTGTGGTCCCATGATACTGGATGCTCTGCTAAAGATTAAGAACGAGATCGACCCTTCCCTGACCTTTAGAAGATCATGCCGAGAGGGAATCTGCGGATCTTGCTCCATGAACATTGGTGGTGTTAATACATTGGCCTGCATCAGGTATTTGAAATGTTCTTTCAGATGCACTGTTACCAGTTTCTTAACATTTATATCAAGTCAAGATTAAATATTTTGGGAACTGAAGCTAGACAATTTGAAACATTTATAGTATCACAGCATGAATCATAATTTGCACTTACAATGGCACTCATCCCAACTTTCTCCACAGCAAAATCGATACAAACTTGAACAAGGCGACAAAGATCTACCCCCTTCCTCACATGTACGTCATTAAGGACCTGGTTCCTGACATGAATAATTTCTATGAACAGTATCGTTCAATTCAGCCCTGGTTACAGCGTGACGATGGTCTCAAACCAGGCGACCAGCAGTACCTGCAGTCTGTTGATGACCGCAAAAAGCTGGTAAGTTTATTATTAGTATATTTATAGATAACTATGGATTGATAGTGCTAACTGTTTTGTACATTTATAGATATGAATTTACATTGCCTATATTGCATGTTACTGGATGTGATATTTTGATAAATGGAGTTTACCTTTTCGTCAATTTTGAATGCAAGTGTTTATAAGCATTAAAGTGTGTAGATCAGAAGATAGATAAATGTATATATAGATATTTTCCAATATTTGGAAATAATTCCCTGTCTCCTTTACCTATCAGGATGGTCTTTATGAGTGCATTCTTTGTGCTTGCTGTTCCACTTCCTGCCCATCATACTGGTGGAACGGAGACAAGTACCTTGGCCCAGCAGTCCTCATGCAAGCCTACCGATGGATCATTGACTCCAGGGATGAAATGTCTGAGGAACGTCTGAAGAGGCTACGTGATCCTTTCTCAGTTTACCGTTGCCACACCATCATGAACTGCACAAAACATGCCTAAGGTAATGGACTATGCACACAAATGAATGTGTACTGATCTGTACAAAGATATAACATCGCAACTATTTTAGTAAGGAAACATTAAGCTGTAATACATCGTACTAAGTTGTTATTGTCATAAGCAAAAAAGACACAATTATAAGCATTGAAAGACGCAATTATATTGGAATTTATGGATAATTAATGATTACCAACAACTAAAAGCACATTTTGATTCTCCTTCAGGGATTGAACCCAGGACGAGCCATTGCAGAGGTGAAGAAGCTGCTATCAGGCATTGCCAAGAAGGGAGAACCTGGCCTGAACCCCATGGGAGCAAACTAAGAGTTGTGTAAATTCTGAGAACTGCATCACCAGTAAACTCCAAAGACATTCTGAGGAGCCACCATTGATAATACTCTCAGAAGTATTGACCAAGGAAGTCAAGTACAATTGCCTAATGAAGAAAAACATGGGTTCTCACAAACATGTCTTTAGTGGGAGTGATTGGTTTCATCAGATGGAATATTTATGAATTTGAGTGGAAAAGCAGAAAGACAGGCAATGTAGTTTTTTGAGATTAAGCACCAGTAGTCAGAATGATGAGATTTTGCACTATCTACCTAATTTATCCAGCCGCGACAGAAGTGCTTCAGCTACAGTTACTTAATCTCAGGTGGTCCTGTTCTGCTGTACAGTAAATGTGTATAGAGATAACTAATAATCAATGGTAACACTAAACACATGTATATGTGCAGGGTTCATGGATAAATGTGTAGATATTTTTCCCCTGAAAATAATTCATGTACATAACCATTTCAGAATTTTTCATTTTCTCTATGAAATAATGAATCTGCTGTATCACCCATACAAATAAAGGGTTTGAAGGGATTTACTTTATTTTCTTGTATTAGTCCAGTTTGTGATAGTGCACAAGGAAAGAGTGAATGTTAAGTGTCAATGAGAGATGGTCTGTAATTATCAGGTTAAAATAAATATTTAAGCTTTATGTACTGTATAGCTATCCCCCAGAAGCTGTTTTTTTGAATTATCATAACTGCTGATTCTTCATCAAAAACACTTTTCCATACAAAGAAAATCATTTGTCATCCTAAGATACATAAACAAAATCATAGCCATAGGTAATCATATGACCATCTTTACATTGTCCTTGCCACATTCTATGAATTCTAGTCATTCTGAAAGTTGCTCACAGGTTATTTATAGATGTAAACATACAAATGAATGTTAATTTTTCTTGGTCCTTTGTGATTAAGAAAATCAAATGGGTAATATGTTCACACATGGACTAGCTTCAAAAGAAATCAAAACATTTGAAAGCTACATATCAGTTTGGAGTGTGGGTGAATATCACCTTTTTATGCTAGTTTCGTGCCCAATAATTTTGTATTTAATGTAGTCTAGTAAGTTTTCATTGCTTGATAAATAAATTACCTGCATCAATTATGAAATACATACAATGGATTTAATTTTACGGTTCATGGTAATGAATTCATTCTGCATTTGAAAACAAAATTCAAACATCACAAATCTAAGGCAGCTTTTTTTTTCTATTGGGTGTTGGATAATACATAACATTTTTATTACATTATTATTGAACAGCGACTGAAGATATTTAAATTTTATGATAATTGAAATAACTTCTCTGGGATAGATGGTAAGATGAATAAATATATTGGAATTTGACTTTTCTTGAGATAAGCTTCTTAGGAAAGTGTAAGTAATATTTCCCATTAAGAAATATCAGTGAATGAGTGAATGATGATTGAAAGAATGCAAAATTTGATGCATTATGTTTATCATGGCTGTTAAGTAACAGATTTTGCTGTTAGAACATGTTGATACAAAATGTGATAATTATGAGACAGAGAAAGTGTCTTGCATCCATCATTATCAATGTAGAGATCTTTCACTAACTGAAATTGAGAGTATTGTACTATTTTTGCATTTCTTGTTGCAATTGGCAGAGTTTTCATGTCCTTTAATGACAAGTGCCTTATTATATAATATCAGTTCACACACTAGTCCTTGTGCTTTGTTATGGAAGTTTGAGCAATTAATTTACTAATTAAGGCCAGACCAAATAACATATATATCTTCATAGTATGTACTCGTCAGTATTTTTTGTCAGAAATCTCCCATTATATAATATTTTTTTCTCTTTGACTACAAACATGCATAGCAATAACTTATTGAAAGTATTTTATAGATTATGATGCAGCATAATATCAGAATATTTAATGATTATTTTTACCAGGTGTCTTTTCCTCTTGCTAAATGTACTGTGCATACACAAAAGTAGGTTACATAGTGACAGACTTCTCTTGTGTGTTTGTAGACTAGCAAGTAAAATGACCCTTTTGGAAGTGGAGTCATTTCACCAGAATGACTAAGAATGTAACAGCTACTTATGGACCATTTTGGACACTAGTTTCAGGCCTACCTCTAACTTCAGTCTGGGTCTGAATGGACATCATGTAGACAATACAAGTGTGCCTGCTGTCTGTGCATGGTGTTAATTCTAGACTAGCAAGGACTGCTTGATCATCAAGGCAGGGCTTTGGTCACTACAAAGGTTATAAACACACTGAACTTTACATATATGGCAAAAACTCCTTAGGGAAAATCCACACAAATTTGGCACCGAGCAAAAATAGACAAGTAATACCTCAAAACTGTCCTTACTATTTTACTAAGATTTTTAAAAATAATTTGAAGTACTATGACATCTGGTAGACTTTATTCCGAGAAAATTGTTCAATTAAGAGATATACTTAGAAAATTGTTCAATTAAGAGAACTTTAAGGGCGTAAAAATTATATACATATTGTTTAACTATATATCTATACAAACACTCAACAAAAACAGTCTCACCGGAGAACTTTTCTTTATAATTTACTGGTATTTTGAGTGTCAAATTCTTTATTATACTCAGGTAAAATCCATCCATCAAAGACAATATAGCTCTCACTTTAATGTATACACAGTTTGAGTTCAGTTAATGTACACATACTTGGATTTTATTTTGAATATTTAAATTCTGTGCAATAAACTATTCTACTTGGCAAGGCAACCAAACAGTGCATTGGCAAATGATAAAAAATATTACTATCTTTCCCATTTTCAATCTCAAGAAAAAAAAAAAAAAAGAAAAAAACAACAGGATAACAAAAACAAAATATTTTCACATCAACTTTACTATATACATCCTCTCAATAAAAAAAGGTAAATAACAAACATGAGTTTAATGATGACGTGAGTAATGCAGAAAAACTCAGTTCTATGACATGAAATATGCTGCAGGTCTTTATTTTAATGCTAAATGTTGGTCAATATACATTTCAGGAAAATAATATTCAACATGAACCTAGCTGCTTTAACATAGGTCCTCTCTACAAACTTAATTACAATGTGTACAATAAAAGAAAAAAAATATAACCCCACTGGAATAATCATGTTCCACGCGATGATAACAATTAACCCCAAAAATAACAGACAGCAGTTCTCTTTCCATCCCCTAGAAGACTGTGTCAGGAAAGTCTTGTACTCTGCCTTCACTTGCACCTACATGCTTCATCCCATACGGATCAGTCACTCTTTTCGGGCTTGTAGAACTGACGGCACCTTTCCTCAAAGACCTTTAAACTGCGTTCTCTAACGATCTCCTCAATGGTTAATTCATTCTGCAGTTCTCGGATCTGGGGGAGGGGGAAGTTATATATATATATTTTTTTTTTTTTCTTTCTTAGCTTAATCCATCCCACATGTGATGTAGTACCAATTTTTTAATTTTATGTGTGTATGTAATTATATATATATATTAATATATATATATATAATATATATATATTATATATATATATATTATATTATATATATATATATATATATATATAAAATAAATTTATTAGAAATAACATATAACTAAAATCTGATCACATAAACCATAAAAAATCAATAAAACATAAAATGCAGTCAAGACAAAATATTAAAAGCAAAAAATAACACAGCAAAAGGAAGAACGCAACTATAACAAAACCCAAACAACTGACCCTGCTCTGCTCACTACGCAGATTTCTCATGAACTTGGCATCATCCCTTTTGCCTGCCATATCCTCTCTCATCTGGCGAACGCGTTCTCGAGCTTCAGTCATGCAGTGTTCAATTAGCGCTCCTCTCCGCTGGTATGTGTTATCCAACTGTAGATTAAAGTAATGACAAAATGAGCTCCATGTACTATAATGAAAACAAAACCAATGATTCTAATAATGATGATGGTGTTGGCAGTGGTGGTGGTGATTGACTAATGATGATAATGATGATACATGAGAAATACCAAATGAATAACCTGTAGTAATTCCTTGAATTCCTCTCTCCTTACAAGGTACCGTTACAGTATTTAAATGGGATATCTCAAAAGATAACTTATCTTATATTCTGCTCTACTCATCAACTTTGGTAAAATTACAAACATTAAAACAAAGACCTAATCATATATGATACTCAGTGTTACAAAACTGCTTAAAAAAAGGCTTTCTAAAGTATATTTAAGAGAAAAAAATGTCAATTCTTACACTACGGTAAGAATATCAAGTCAAATTCTAAAAAATGGTAATGAATTATAATGGCACCAAAGAAACAAAGATTCAATGAAAAATGGGAAATATAAAACTCCATCTAAGACTTCAGTAGCCTTAACTTTTCCATAGAAGAAAAGGAGAAAGCTACTGATTTTACAAGGGTGTCAATAGAATGTCTAATATAAATTAACATAGTTGAATTAATCTACAAAATTTGTCTTTGTCTACTTGCATACCTGCCCCTACATATCCATTCATACATAAACTAAAATGGATTCACATACCATTGGCAACCATTCATTTTTTAAATTATTATAAATTTCAGAAATTACTTAATAGTAATAACACACTGAAGATTTTGTTACTACCTGCTCTCCAAAAAACACCAACAAGGACCAGGATATAATAATTGAAATTATCT